GTAATAAAATTATTTGCTTTTTATTTTTAAAATCATTTTTTATTGATTGTTTCATTTAATATTTATTTGTTAAAATTTTAATTTTATGTTTTTTAAATCAATAATTTTTTTCTTTTAATTTGTATTTATCAGTTTTTTAATCCAAAGTCATATTATGACCCCAAAAAAAATATGGTAAGGTACTGAGCTTCTCTTGTGCTTGGTTTCAGTGGATAATGGAGTGATTTAATGAATTGAACAAATTGATAGCAAGTAAAAAACGAATAGGCGACCTCATTACAAACTTAAAGGGTAAATTTATAAATTTAAAATTAATTTAAATCCTTCCTTTCCTTTTACCTTAATTATCTAAACATAAAATAATACAATCATTCCCTTCCCTTCTCTTCCCTTCCCTTCCCTTCCCTTCCCCTTCCTCATTTTTATTTATCCAAACAAAATTAACACACATCGTTTCATTCCATTTTCTTGCCTTCCCTTTCTTTTCCTCCCATTCCATTTCCTTTTATTTTCCCCCATCCCCATCCCCCTCCCTTCCCTTCCTTTCCCTTCCCTTTACTATTTTCTATCCAAACAACGCGTAACTATAATTTTTATTAGAGAAAAAATATCGCAACTGTCATTTTCTTCTTTGTCAATGTCAACAATGGAGGTCGGGGATTTATTTGTGTGGAAAATTATTGACATATTTTTTCATTCAACGAACTCATTATTATGGACCGCTGGTTTCCTACCGTCTTCAATCTCCCTCTTTGTGCTGTACAATCTCCAAGCATTTCTCTCTTCGAAATTACTGAACCAAATATGGCTACTGATCCTATCCTTAATTCTGTTACGGATGTCACCTTATCCAAGGTGATTTCAGTTGCTAACGAGCAGCTCAACTTAGCTGTTGGATTCAGGCAGGAGCTGAGGAGGTTTCATGACACGCTGAAAATGATCCAGGGGGTGTTGCAGGATGCAGAGCAGAAGGGAATGATAAACCGCCCTAATCTGAAGCCTTGGCTTGAAGGGCTTTGGAATATAGCTGAAGAGGCTGACGATGTGGTGGATGAAATTGAATATGAAAATCTGCGGTACAAGGTAGCTCAAATGTGGGAAAAGGTCAGCTATTTCTTTACTGTACCAATCCTTTAGCTTTTCGCCTTGAGATAGCTAACAGGATTAAGAATTTAAATTTAGAACTAGCTGACCTTAATAATAGGGCCACTGGATTAGGGCTGCAAAGTAGACTTGCAAGCAAGCATCCTGAACATATAGAAACCCAACAAACAGATTCCTCAATTGGTGATCCATCAAAAATTGTAGGAAGAGAAAATAAGGTCCTAGAAGTCGTTGAATCATTGATTGACTCAAGTAATGATCGACCTCTCCTTGTTGTAGCCATAGTGGGTATGGGAGGCATAGGCAAAACTACTGTGGCCAAACTAGTATGTAACAATGAGCAAATACGGAGTCATTTTTTCAAATTAATATGGGTTTGTGTTTCTGAAAATTTTAATTTGAAACAAATTTTAGTAGAGATGTTGGAAGCTTTTGGTGAAAATGTTTCTATAGATGTAAGTCAAGATATTGTAGTTCAAAAACTACAGGAAAAATTGAGGGAGGAAAATTATCTTCTCATACTAGATGATGTATGGAATGAAGATTGCCAAAAATGGGAATCCTTAAGGAGCTGTTTGTTGGGAATAGGTAAAAATGTTAGGACTAGGATTCTTATCACAACTCGAAGTGAACATGTAGCTTCCACAATGGGAACACTTTCTGAGCACATGCATCATCTTGAGAAGCTAACAGATGAGGATTGTTGGTCTATAATCAAGCAGAGAGCATTTGTCAGCTCATCATTCTCTTTTGAATTGGAGGGGATTGGAAGGGATATTGCTACCAAATGTAGAGGTTTAGCATTGGTTGCAAATATTATTGGGGGGAGTTTGTGCAATAATAGGAAAAAGGATGACTGGTTATCAATTAAAGATAATAGTGAAGTATGGGGTTCAATAGAAAAAGTTAATGGAGTTCTGTGAGTGTTGCAGTTGAGTTTCAATCACCTGCCAACACCTACTTTGAAACAATGTTTTGCTTTCTGCTCTATTTTCCCAAAAGATTTTGTCATGGAAAAAGAGATGTTAATTCAGCTTTGGATGGATGAAGGGTTTCTTCAGCCATTTAGTGAAAGTTACTCTGAGATGGAGGATATTGGTGATAAGTATTTCAATGCATTATCCTCATATTCTTTATTTCAAGATACAGAAAGAGATTCTTATGGGAGCATTATTGCTTGCAAAATGCATGATTTAGTTCATGATTTTGCACAATTTGTTTCAAAGTCCCAAACTTTGGTTTTGGAAGATGGCAGCAAAAGAAATATTCCTGCAAGCATTCGACATTTGAATGTGATTTCTAAGAAGGGTATGGCAACAACAAAATTAGGGGATGCCACTAAAAAATTGCACACTTTGTTTTCACAGGTTGATGTCTTTCATAGTATGTCAACAAACTTGAGAAAGGTGCGGGCTCTTAGTTTCTGTGGTGCTAATATTGACGTGTTGCCAGCTTTTTTGGGGAAAATGAAGCATTTAAGGTTCTTGGATGTTTCAGAAACAAAAATCAAAGAACTTCCCAAATTCATCACCAAGCTCTATCAGTTGCAGACATTTAGATTTATGGATTGCTGGGAAATCAAAAGGCCTTTGGAAGGAATATGGGATTTACTCAATTTGAGACACATTTATTTCAATGATGAAGAGCTTATGCTAGTCGGGATTGGTAGACTCACTTGTTTAAAAACATTACAATTATTTGTTGTGGGCCGAAAGAAGGGACATCAAATCAAAGAACTGAGACGTCTAAGCCAACTCAAGGGGAAATTAAAAATTCGTAATTTGAATATGGTTAGAGACAAAGAAGAAGCCATGGGAGCAAGACTTTCTAAAAAAGATAAAATTCAAGAGTTGCAATTGGTGTTTGGTTGGAAATCCTATGGTAGTGAAGATAGATGCAAACATGATGAAGATATCTTGGAAGGCCTCCAACCTCATTCAAATTTGAAAGGCTTAATTGTTGAATGCTATTGTGGTAAAAGTTGTCCTACATGGATGTCAGAAATAGAAAATTCAATGTCAAAAAGAGTGAATTTTCTCAAAAATCTGATGTTCATGACCTTTGATGAATGTCCCTGGTTAGAAAGCATTCCATCACTTTCACTTAGCGATGAGGCAAAGGTGGAAATTAAATATTGCAAGAATTTGAAATGCATTGCATATTCGTCCCTAAAAAAACTCATCATTAAACAATGTGAAGAACTGGTTAAGGTAGAGGTTGGACCAGTTGCCATGAAATCTCTCAAAGAAGTACATATAGAGAGATGTGGTAAATTGGAAAATCTTCTGATGATTAGTAAATTACAATCCCTTGAGATACTTGATCTTCAGGAATGCGCGGAATTGAAGATAATTGGGGATGATGCTCGATTTGCCTCCACGTGTCTGCAAGAGTTAAATATTTCTGACTGTGATAGGTTAATGTCCATGCCCGGTGTAGATGGGATTTTCTCTCTTCAAAAAATTATTATGGACAAGTGTGGGAAATTGAAAAGCATAAGAGAAAGTTTATCTACCTCCACGTGTCTCAAAGTGTTGATTATACAGGATTGTAATGATCTGACGCCCCTTCTGAGCCTGCACGGGCTTTCCTCTCTTCAAATAATTGATATACACAGCTGTTGGGAATTGAAAAGCATAGGGGAGAGTTTATGTACTGCCACCTGTCTCAAAGAGTTGCGTATATTGGGTTGTAATGGCATGACATCGCTTCCTAGTCTTCATCAGCTTTCATCTCTTCAAACTTTATCGATAGGGCATTGTGGTGGATTAAGCAGTTTGCCAAGTGGGTTGCTATCATGCACTGCTCTTGAGGAATTGGCTATCGCCTACTGTGATAATCTAATCTCTATTCCAGATGATTTGAGGAAGAGCTGGAGCATCCCTAACCCTACCTGCCTTACTCGCTTGAAAAAGCTGATTATTGGTGGTTTCTCAACAAAGCTCCAAGAATTTCCAGATCTGGGCTTCATCGGATCTCATCTTGAAGAACAAACTTTGATTGCATGGGGAAAACCAAGAGAACGTCTGCTGGATCAAATTCAACACCAAACTGCCGTTAGGTATTGTTAGAGGTGCTGTTTGCATTGTACCTCTCCTCAATTAATGTAGTTGGTGTGTTTAATAGTTAGTTGGGAGGTTGAGATGTCATACGTAGACTACAAAATCCAACTAAAAGAATATGGTGCAGATTTGTCTACTCTGCAGCAAACGTGTAAGCAATG